GGAAACAACCTAAATGCCCCTCAACTGAAGAATGGATAAGGAAAATGTGGTACATTTACACAATGGAGTACTACACAGCAGAAAAAAATAACAACACCTTGAATTTTGCAGGAAAATGGATGGAGCTACAAAACATTATTTTGAGTGAGGTAACCCAGACACAGAAAGACAATTATCACATGTACTCACTCATAGGTGGTTTTTAAAGATAAAGCAAAGAAAGCCACAATTTCAGAGAACTTAGACAACAATGCAGACACTAAGAGAGACTTACATAGATATAATCTTCATGGGTAGTAGAAAGTAGAACAAGACAAGATCTTCTAAGTAAATTGGGAGCATGAGAACCTTGGGGGAGAATTGAAAGGGGAGCGGAAAGACAGGGAGGGGATCAAAGAAAAATATAGAGCTCAATAAATGTCAATAAAATAAAAAAAGGGGGAACCAGAAGATATCCCCAGAACTGGAGTTAACAGACATTATAAGCCTCCATGTGGGTGTTGGAAACTGACTGTGGGTCCCCAGAAAAACAGCAGAAGGCAGAGCTGGAGAAGTGACCCAGGCCCTTTGAAGCCCAGAGGTCATGCATGGCTCCCAGATTAAGCACTGAACTTTTTAGAATGCTGATTTTGATTTTGTTTTGATTCTGTCTATATCCTGGGTCTTTCCTCTTGGGGTAAAAACATAATTATTTTGATTTTACAGGAGCCCACAGATGAGAAACTTTGAACTTCTACAGAGACTTAAAGAGTTTTTAGAGAAACAGCAGACATTTTAGAGATATTTGGAACTTGAAAGGGACTTTGGATAAAAAGATTGAATTTTTAAAGCATTTGAAATTTTAGAGACTGTGGGACCCTTTAAAATTGCTTATCCTTTATATTGTGGTATTAGCATGCCATCTTGGGACAAGTGAGAGGAAATGATCTAGTAGGATAGTGATGCATCTATGTGTCATATTGACAAGGGTTAACTATGCTTGCTAATTTTATGTCAACTTGACAGAAGCTAAAATCATTTTGAAAAAGGGAACTCTCAACTGAGATTGGCCTGTAGGCAAGCAACCCAGTGGTGCATTTTCTTGATTAATGATTGATGTGGGAGGGCCCAAATAAGTGTATATGGTGCCCCCTCCCCCCACAGGCTGGTGATACTGAGTACCATAAGAAAATAGGTTGATCAAGCCATGACAAGGAAGACAGTAAACAGCACTCCTTCATGACCTCTGCATTAGTCCCTGCGTCCAGGCTCCTGCCCTGACTTCCCAGGATGTCGGTCTACAAGCTGTAGGCTGAAATAAACCCTGTCCTCTCCAAGCTGCTTTGGATCATACTGTTTCACAATAGAAGTACTACGACAACTGAGCCTACTTATTCAAAGATAATGCATCCACTCTCAGAGCTATAACCATAACGCCCTCACACCCATGCTAACGATTCACCAATGGAGATCTCAATTTCAGAGATTCTATCATCCACAGAATTTTCAACCCTCTTGCCCCCAAAGTGAACTCAATTCTCCTTGAAACTTGCTTCTTCTGAATTTTCCATCTCTATGGATGGTATACTAATGCCATAAAACAATGGGTCTTCATTTAACTCTTTATACCCTGTGCCTCTCCATCTTGACCCTCAACATTCAATTATGATATTCCTTCCATTTTTCCCTTATAACTCTCTTGATTCTGTCTCTTCACAGTCATAACTTTGTTCACTAAAATAAACTTTATTTGATTTATAATTAATTTCCTACTTCTAATAGTTTTCTCCCCATAAAGGTATCTTTCAAAGTTGTCTTTTTAAATTAAAAACAAAATTATAATTTTATCATCTGTATTGTTTTAGTGCTGACTGCCCTTAGAACAAAGTAAAGATTCACCCATCTCTTCACAGTACATACTAAGCCATTTGCAGTGCAAGATAAAACCATGATTTCACCCTTTGGGCACCTGAACTCCCATTGCATTTGGTTTAACGCATTTTCCAAACCCCTTCTGCATTAACTTTTTATTGTTGTAGCCAAGACAAAAGCAACCTAATGGAAGACGCACTTATTTTGTCTCATGGTTTGGCCCCATGTGCTTGGTCAGAACATCACGGCCAGGGAGTATGTGTCAAAAGCATCTTCTCTCCATTAAAGACAGGAAGCATAAGAAGACAAAAGATGTCAGGGAACAAGATAACACCAAAGTCACACCTTTGGCGACCTCCTTCGTCCAGCCAGGTCCCCTCTTCTAAGTTTCCAGAAATCTCCCAAAATTGTGCTCCCAGCTGGGAAATCGGGCCCTCAGTCTATCAGTCTTTTGGGAGGAAATGAATATCCAAACTTTAACAGCGTCTTACTACTAGCTCCTACCCAAACTTCAAATCTCAAATTATATTGTCACCTCCACAGAAGCTATGGCTATTCTTTTCGATCTGTGATGTTCCCAGACAAGCACCAGTCACACACAGCTTCAAGTGCGTCTGAATGTGGCCACTTGAAATTTAGATATTAAGTGAAAATCACACACCAGATTGTAAAGACTCAATAATAATAATAATGAAGAGGAAGAGGAAGAAGAAAAGAAGAAGAGGAGGAGGAGGAAGAGGAAGAAGAGGAGGAGGTGGTACAATCCCTTAGTAATAAGTTTATATTGGTTACATATGAAAGAATATTTGGACACATTTATTAGGTTAAACTAAACATATTAATGTGATGTTAATTCCAGCTTTTTAAAAACCTTTCAACAACCTATCTGTAGGAAACTCAAAATTACTGCAGACTGCCTTATATTCTACCTGGCCAACACCTAGGCTAAACAAGGAGGAACTCCTTTTGCCTACAGTTGCTTGTGGTAGTTATTTTTGAAAATTACTACTGGCAGACTACAAGCATCTTATGAACAAGGGGATGCCTCTACCTGGAAATTCCAGAAGGGTGCTAAAATAAATATTCAATAAGTATGTAAATAATAAATTAATTAAATACTCAATCCTCACTATTTGGGGATTCCACAGTTGTGGATTTGCATATACACACAAAAGAAAACTCACTAGTAACCTCCTAAACAATACATGTGCTTTTTTGGCCATCTGTGAACGCAGAGATTTGACCTGTCCACATTTTCCTAGCCGAGGTCAAATACAGCAGTATTCTCTTTTGTGGTTTCAACTATCAAACTGTACATAAGTCTTCTTTATGCTCTATTTACTACTTATTTTGGAACTTTGTTTCTGTTTTGCATTATATGACTTCTACTTAAAATGCCCCCCGAAAGACCGTGTCGAAAAGTTCTCTAGTGTTCCTATGCTCAAGATTGGGTTGCGCCAAATAGAGGCAGCAGGAGTGTAGATAAAATACCAGGTTTGAATTATAGTGCTCTTAGCCACACACGCAATATTAACTATACATATGAAATCAGATGTTTTCGATAGAAATAAGTGTGACAGAATCTCTCCTTATAAGTGAAAATGTGACTCCAAGAACCGACAAGGAACCAAATGCTCTTAAGTCTCCTAGAGACAAGGGCTCAGAGGTGCTACTTCCAAAGAGACTTTGGAAGGCACTGTTTGGGTTAAATTAAACAGTCATTTGATTTTTCATACAAATCTTATGTGGATATGTGAATATGGTGGTAGACAAAGCAATAATTTCAGCTTTAATTCTCTGACTGACTTACAAGCTACATGATTCGGGGCAAACTGCATCATTTTCCCTGCCTTTGTCCATTATTCAAAACGCAGATAATAGAGTAACTGCTAATGGCTGCCAAGGTCTGGCTGGGTATGCGGTGGGGGTGGGAGACAGAGCTGAAGACATAAGGCACAGGAAATTTCAGAATGAGGAAAATAGTCTCATTATTATGATGGTGATTATATAATTGACTTTCTTTTTCAAAACCCGTGGAATTAAAAGTACACTTTATTTTACAAAAATTCTAACTTCAATCTTAGTTTTAAAAAACATTAGTAGTCAAGATTAAGCAACGGAGATGAAATAATACACTCCTATATAACTCTTACTTAAATATTAGTGGCAACAATAATAATAGGGAAAGGTTAGGCAGCCTAAGAAAACGCAGAGGGAACTCAACAGCCTTGGGTTCTGATTTGGTTCTTTCACATATTAAGAGGAGGCACAGTTTACTTTATGGAAGTCAAGTGCTTATTGCATCCAGAAACACAAGTGAAATACGTTCTGCATATATGTATTCAAAAATATAAGACTGGATTTACTTACAAGACAGCAATGCCAAGTCACTGAACGAATGCACTGGGTTCCGGAGTGAGAGGTGATCTGCCTAGATTCTCTTCAATGTAAGAGAAATGCAGCTACGACGAAACAGAGAGAAGCGCCCCTCTGAAGAATGTCTTTAATCCTTAACAACAAACAACAGGAAAAAAAAATCTAGGGCACATCAGTGCCAGGAAGATCATGAGGCAGAACAGACAAGCTCTGGGCTCATGGTTGGTACACATCCTGAGGAATTTTCCACCCCTGGGAACACTGTTGACTCCGGCCAGGTGGCACCAGCACCTCACCACAGGGTGTCTGCAGTCCTCTGCCAGCCTACAATGCGGAGTCAAGAAATAACACACCACGGCTGGCATTCTTCGAACTCCAAGCATGGACTCCAACCCCAAGGAGGGCTGCAAGCTGTACCAGAGGCTGAATCAAAGTTCCTTCCAGCGCCACTTGGGACACTTGGAAAATCCATAGGACTTGAGAGTTGTGAAGACCATTGTGTGACAGCATCCAGGCACCTGCGTGCCAGGGCTAATGGCTATCCCCAAGGTCAGCTGGGCCCCTAACCGAAGATGAGGATGCAGCTGCGCCTGTAGCACAGCGAAGCTTCAAGCAGTCGACTGCAGCCACCTCTGCACGCCGGAAGTGCACTAATCCGCAGCACGTGGGGTTGCCAGGGCGCGCTTCACGTGACTGGGCGGGGACTCGGGAAGCCTCGAGCCAATGGGCCATCCGGGGGCAGGGCTGAGTCCGCTCCCGGGCCTATCCCGGAAGTGTGGATGGTGGTTGACAGTGGGCCGGGCTGTGGCGGGGAGGGCCGGGGCGGGGAGCCGGGTGTGGGAAGCGTGGCGGCCCCGCCCCGTCTCCTGGACCAGCCGTGGTAGCCAGCGCCGCCGCTGCCGCAGGGACCGGCGGACGCAGCGAAGGCGTACGGTGCGGGCCCGAAGGTGAAGATCTGGGGTTGGTCCGGCGGGGTGGGTGCTTCAGCCAACGATGGTGGGGTCCGGGCGAGGGGAGGAGCCGAGAGGCATGGAAAGCTGACTGCGGGCGAGCGCGGGACCGCCGGGCACAGGCCCTTCTCCCCTGGGCCGAGTCCGGGATGCCAGGGCGGCGCCGCTGCGGGTGCTAGGCGCGCCGAGGGCTAGGTGCTGCCAGCCCGGTGCTCCTGTCCCAGCCTTCCCTGGACTTGCGGCCTGGCTGACGCCGGGTCAGCGGGGATGGGCTGGAAGGTTGTGGGCACTTCTTGCGGTGGGGTGGTGAGGATTGGACCTACTGGCTCAGGGCTGGCATCGCCTTCACTCCCCGGCGAGCTCCTCTGCAGCTTCCTTCCCCACCTCCCACCAAGGGATGAAAAAGTTTTTAGAGGCCTGAATGGCAAAGTATCCACCACTTAAGAGTGGGTGTCCTGTAAATGCAAAATTAACGGGACACTGATGCTCGGCTTGTTACCTGTTCCCAGAATGAGACTTGGCCCTACCTGTATGCCCGTTATTAAAAAGCAAACAAACTTTTTGCATAGTTCCCTCAGAAAAACCACACAACTCCCCAGCCTACCATGGCAGACGAAATTGACTTCACTACTGGAGATGCAGGGGCTTCCAGCACTTACCCTATGCAGTGCTCAGCCCTGCGCAAAAACGGCTTCGTGGTGCTCAAAGGACGACCATGCAAAATCGTGGAGATGTCAACTTCCAAGACTGGGAAGCATGGTCATGCCAAGGTAAGCCCTTCCAGGTCGTTCTTTGGCTTCAGCGAGATGATTCGTGTTCCATTCTACATCATGAGGCCTCTGTATTTAAAAGAATTGTTTATTTGTCCCTCGGTCTCTGAATGATCGGCTATTTCTCTGAATGCTCTCCTTAACTGGGTCCTCAGAATGTTTTATTAGCTGCAACTAAAACTTTCCTGAATCTGGTGATCTAAAACATCTCATTTACAGTTAAAACCAACCTGTTCTTAAAACTCTAAGGGACCTGATCTTCATTCTCTGTGGGCTCTTGTAATTGAAGTGCTAAGATCTGTAGGGTATTGAGTTTTGATGCCATGAAACTGTCCGGTGTTTGCTGAATCTTTTTTTTAAAGAAAATAAGATGACCTTGGAATGAGGTAAAAAGAACCCATTCCGATCAGTGTTGGGATTGTGCCCCCATGTAAGTAGCTACGTACTGACAGATCAAACGTGTTTCCCGTCCCCCAATGTTAGGTACACCTTGTTGGAATTGATATTTTCACTGGCAAAAAATATGAAGATATTTGTCCTTCCACTCACAACATGGATGTTCCAAATATTAAGAGAAATGATTATCAAGTAAGTAGTGATTTCCTTACTAATTTTGGTTCAGATGTCTTAGAAGGAGTTTGACAAGATTTGAGAGTAACTTTATAGGGTCTTTTCCTCACTGTTAGTAGACTCCACTTACTTTACAGACTAGAGAAATAGTGTTCTGTTTGGTTCTTTTTAATATTTGTGCTTTTTTTAAAATTTTGAAATAGGGCATCATATATCCTAGGCTGGCCTTGAACTCACTTTCATCCAAGGATGACCTTCAGTTTCTGATCTTCTTGCCTCTACCTTTGAGGGCTGGGATTACAGGTTACACCTGGTTATGCTGTGCTAGGGCTCACCCCCAGGGCCTTGTGCATGCTCTAGGCCAGCATGCTGTACCTCTAACCTCTGCTGCACTCTGACCCCACTGGGGACCAGTGAGATGGCTTAGTCGGTCAGAGCACTCGCTGTCAAGCCTGGCCCCTGAGCTCAGTTCCAGAAGGACACAATAGATTCCTGTGTCCTCTGACCACCACACATGAGCTGCGAAACACATGTGCCACACACATACTTTTACTAAATAAACAAATTTAGTATTTAAAATGCAGTATTCAGACCAAGGGTATCAGAAAGTCTAATATTTGGTAAAATTACTATTCTCTCTGCTGTAAATGATTTCAGGTTTAGATAACGCCTTCCTAAGATTTCCAACACTGGAATTCATATTCCCACTAACCAAGTTTTTACATAATTCAAAATCTGGTATCGTTAAGTAGGAAAGTAACTTGAAACCCATAAATATAAAGTGCCTGGCCACTGAGAACAAAGGAGAAAATAAAAAACTATGTAACTGACTTATGTATACCCACTAACTGTGACCTTTTATTAACATATATTTTTATAATATATTTTAATAAATATATACATGTGCATGCACACACACACATATGTATATGATCTTCAAGCTTTAGTTCCAATTACACCTGGAGATAGGTCATGTTTAATGATGGCATTTTGTGGTTTGGTGTGTTAATGTTATCCGACCTTCTGGAATGTAGAATCTCTGATTGATCATAGCTATAGAAGTTTTTGTACCAAATACAGCGTAAAATAAACTTTCCGTCTTAAGTGTAAGCTTTATCTTTAACCTTAAGCTGGTCTCTCTGCACTGCATCATGCATCCATTCAGTGACTTCTTTCAATGCTATCCATATGTATACTTATTTTTCTATTCTTAATTTGGTTTAATATTTTCACTATGCCGCTTATGAGTGTTTTATATATTGAGTCTGAACAATTTAAAATATTTTGATAGTTATATCAAACACCAAACCAAACAGTGTTTTGAGTCAAGCAGATCTAGGTTTGAATCTAGGCCTAGCACTTTCTAGCTAGATGTGTGTGTTTCTCTAACCTCTCCCTTTCAGTCTACGAACCAAGGCTGACTGAGAAAGTATATGCCCATGAGCAGCTGTGAGAACCAAGTATTTTTGTCCTGCGTCACATTTTCTATATCAAATTCTACCTAATCATTTCATTGTTCTTGATCACTGAACTTAGATGTGCTACATAGTAGGCACTCAGTAAACACTCACTAAATGAATATGTATTTATTCAGTGGTGTATAAGATTGACATGTCAAATTAAGGCTAAGTATAGAATTAATTTTGCCAAGATGGATTTTTCTCATCCTGTCTTGTGAGTGCTCTGAGCGCTCAGTATCCTCTGTGTTCAGTGGTTTCTCCGTGCTCCTGCCTGTCGATGCTCTGAGCGCTCAGTATCCTCCGTGTTCAGTGGTTACCCCGTGCTCCTGCCTGTCGATGCTCTGAGCGCTCAGTATCCTCCGTGTTCAGTGGTTACCCCGTGCTCCTGCCTGTCGATGCTTCATCAAGCCAACACTAGCAATTTGTATGATTGCTGTGGTCAAATTAACCAATCATTGAAGCTTAAAACTGAACATAAAAGGACTAATTTGGTATGGATTTTATTTGGGTGTTCAGTAAGGTCCAAGCATACCCTTCACCTCATGTGCAGAAATTAAGCAGACAGTTCCTACTAACAATGCCAAGCCATATAGTAGCCTAGCACAAAAGGGAAAATTAGTGACTGTGGCCCTGTCTCCATTACAAAATTTTCGTTTGTTTATCATAAAGTTTTTATGTTCTCGTTTTTCATTTTCTTTGAAGTGTTCTGTGGTTGAGGTGTTGGGCTGCCTTCTCAAGCTTGTACCCAAGAGGCACTGTTTACTTTCCCGTAGTCCCAGCCTTAGTATGCTGTCAACATGACAGAGTGGACAGCGGAAGACGGCGCCAATCAAGTGGCTCTAGGTCTCTGCTTTGGCACTCATTACTGCGCGGCCTTGGTTGGCAAGTTACTCAATCTCTCTTGTCTCTTTTTCCTCATAAAATTGGGATGTGAATAACAAACTTCTTAAGAGACTGTTTCAAGGCTTAGCGATCACTTAGGACCATGCCTGGCATAGGAGGTTAGCGATCACTTAGGACCATGCCTGGCATAGGAGGTTAGCGATCACTTAGGACCTTGCCTGGCAACTTCCCTGTTATAAAATTGGCATGGAATGTTTATTTCTAGGCATTCAGCTAGGAACTCAGTTCTGTGAGCTTTCTAGTATGTTTACTATGCTCTGGGGTCTTCACTCCTCTACCCAAGTGCCTTGGTGAAATCCCTGCTTCTCTTATTATCTGGCTACATTCAGTTCCTTTGTATCTGCTGAATTCAGTATTTTGAGTGCCAGTAGGCTGCCAGAATTATGACTTTTAAATTCAATTTGCATTTATATAACCTAGTGTTTGTGTGTGCCATGCCTCCACACTTGTGGAGGTCAGAAGACAATTTTCAGGAGTTGGTTCTCTCCATTGATCATGTGGGTCCTACGGATGTAAGGACTTGTAGTCCTGGGCCATCTCACAGCCTCCATATTGAAATTAAAATATTAGTAATAAAGAAAATAGTGATGCTATGATTTCCCTGTGCTTTAAAATCTTTTTTTTTTTAAATTTTAATCAGTTCTATGAATGCCTTGTATTCTTCATGGAAGCATTCTTTCTCAGAGAATGAGAATGAGAGCCCAGTATTTTAGGGAGAAGGGACAGATATAGTGCTACAGGATTGTTAAAGACAATAGTGAAAAGAGCCACATTAGGTTGCTAAGTCAGTGAGTTCTCATACAGGAAAAATAGCAGCATGTATTATATTGTAACTGGTAAAACAGTACCCACAAAGTATCTCCCAGTGGGTGCTATAAACAAGTCTTCAAGATCAGTTCCACAGGCAAGCTGTTCATAGAAGTGTGGGTTCATGAACCATTGACCTCTTAGGGCAGCATCTCATCGTCTCGTTACTTTGCCTGTAAGTGAGCATATTATTCAGAAGTGAGACCATCTGAGGTGCCGCAGCAGAGAGGAGGTGTACTATTAACAGAAGCACTACAGGCAGGAAAAGCAAGTCCATGTGTAGACTGGTTCTACTGCAAGAAGTGCAGCTTGCTGTTTCTGCAGTGTTATTAGGTACTAGCTGTTCCCACTGGGGAAAGATGTCAGATCAGGGACCCTGTTTCAGTCCTACCTGTGGGGCTCTGGTAGCTTCGGGGAGAGAAAGCCTGTGTCATTAAGCCTGTTGAGCAAGTGCTAAGGCAGCAATAACAAGAAGTTGAATGTCTTTCACTAGGAGAACATTTAGAGAGTCTGTGCATGGACCCTAGACCTCATTGACAGTTCTCCTAGCTTGCTCTTCCCGTGTCCTTGACTGCTAACACAACTCTTGACTCTTTGCCCATAGTCAGTAGAAATCATTACAGTCTAAGTCTCCCCACCCTACCACTTGTCACAGCCTTTCTGCTGGCTCCTCATACTGTTCATGGTCACTAGAAATCACTCTAATCATGTTTTTACAGTCAGTAGTCAGAATTCCCCACCAAGCCATCGGTATAGGTTCCAGGGGGAGAAGTGGTCAGTGTGAGAGAGAGTGCTTTCTGAATCTGAGCCACTTCTCAAGCTCTTGGTACCTTAGGACCCTCTCACGTCATCGTGTCCATGCTCCTTCACTTGATGGCGTCCTGTCACTGTGCACACCCACGGGATGCCTTGCTGGGTCAGAGCACACCCCAGTTGATGATCATCTTACTTCTTTATCATCTTACCATAATAATGTTTAAGAATTCACTCTCGCCGGGCGGTGGTGGCGCACGCCTTTAATCCCAGTACTCAGGAGGCAGAGGTAGGCGGATCTCTGTGAGTTTGAGACCAGCCTGGTCTACAAGAGCTAGTTCCAGGACAGGCTCCAAAACCACAGAGAAACCCTGTCTCGAAAAAAACCAAAAAAAAAAAAAAAAAAAAAAAAAAAAAAAAAAAGAATTCACTCTCCCCAGGACCAGCAGCTTCTGGGAGTAACTGAAGAGTGCAATGGAGAGAAGCTGAAGTCTCACCTTGCACGGTGACAGCTGCTTGGTGTGAAATAGAATGTGAAGCCAAACCCAGCAACTGGGACTAAGAACGCACTCCTAGTGACGATCTTCCCCTGCCATCTGTTGTATATTAGTAATACAAACACAGGCAAACACAAAACCACCCTTCCCATAATCCCCCTTTCTATGCTCTTTCTCATTCTGAGCGCATCATTGGCCGGACCCGTAGTCACCCTTCCGATTAGCTCATCCTTTCTCAGCCCACTGTGCTCCCTCCAGCATTCAGTAGTTTCCGTGCTCTCTCTCTGCCTGTGCACCGTTTACTTTAGTTTATTATCTCTCACGTGTGTGCACTCCTGCCGTGGTAGTAGTGGCTCTCTTCTTCCACTGTGTGCATTCCAGGAGTCGGACTCGCATCTCCAGGCTTCTGCAGCAATGCTCTCCTGCTGAGCTGTCTCACTGGCTGTGTTTGACTTTTCTAAGTGTCCGTAGCCCACATATACATCACCTGGGTTTGATACTCATCAGTATATGACAGTCCTGCTCTATCTGCACCCTGCTCTTTTGAAAAATGTTTTATTTATTCTTTCATACATGAATGCAATGCAGTTAGATAATATGTAGATATCCTCCTCTACTAACACCAGGGCCTGCCCCTCCCACAACTCTTCCCAAATTCACATCTTCTCTCTCTTTACAATATAGCCCAGTCGGTTCAATAAGTGCTATCATAAGCACATGGTATAGGGCATCATCTATAGGAGTGAGGGAAACCAACTAGGGGCTGCTGTGCTGAACTCACAGATCTATGTGCCTCTGCTTTTAGGGTGCTAGGATCAAGGGGTTAAGGCATCACCACACCCAGCACAATCTTGCTTTTTCTGTAATGTTATTAGATATATATGAAGCATTAATCTAATCATCTTAATCAGTAAAAACCAGGAGTCAGATATTGGGGTAAAAACCTGGAAGATCAAAGAACCCGGAGCAGCTGCCAGTTGCTTCCTACCTGTCTCATTCCTAAACCCAAAAAGGCTGAGATCCTCTCTACACCCCACTGTATCACTTTCTGTCTCCACCTCCTGAGGGCTGGGATTAAAGGTGTATACCACCATTTTCTGGCTTCTGTGGTTAACTAGTGGGTAGTGCCACCCTCTGATCTCCAGGCAAGCTTTATTTGTCAGAACACAAACAAATACCACACAACACATATATATCATCATTCCATTAATTTAAAGGAAACAATGGAATGATCCCGTATTCCACTCTTTCTTTGAAAACCAGACTACTTCTGTGGAAATTCTTAATCACTTGTTTTGCTTTTATCTTGAGAACTAAGGCACACAGCTCCAGAGTACATTCTCATGCATGTGTGTATAAGTACACAAGGAAGCCAGTATAAATACATAAATATTTCACTCTGCCTTTCAGTATCAGGGATTTTAATATTTTAAAAGCATTTCTGTGTGTATGTATATGTATGTACATGAGCATACATATGTATGCATATGTATACACAGAGCCACAGACACACACACATACCATGATGGAATGTCGGGATCAGGAAAACTTGAGGGATTTGGTTCTCCTTCTTCTACATAGTACTCAAATTACCAGGCTTGCCAACAGGTTTCTCCACCCACTGAGCCATCTCACTCACTCCCGTTATTAGTTTTGAAATGTCCTCTTCTGGATGCACTGAAGATAACCAGTAAACGGACCTTTACTGTGAACTCAGGCAACAACATATTTGAGTTTCTGTGTGATATCTTCTCTTCCACATTAATTTACAAGTTGTTTTGTTACCCGTCAAAGCAAGCTTAGTCACGTTAATTCCTGGATCCCTTTGGACTGTGCCGAACTCATGGCCTTGATGGTTCCTCATACTCTAATGAGCACGTGTCCACCTCCCACTCTGACATGAAGTCTCCTGTTTTCCCAAGTAGCCCTTGATCATTTTAGTAAGACCTTTCGGTAAAGAGAAGATGCCACATTCCAGTACCAGTAAATCCCACATGCTAGTCAGGAGTCGGGACACCAACTGCATGTATTGCATGTGTGCTCATCCTAAACCTTTGGGAAAAGATGGAATCTTGCACAAAAATATACTTAAGATTTAGCAGTAACACCATTGGCTGTTTCCTTCTTTTTTGAGAGAAAGCTATATTTAGGCTATAAAGATCTTGCAGAAGCCACCCTGGTAACCAGGTGGTCAGGGCTCACGGCACCATTAGTGTGCTAGGTACATTTGCCTCCTGGTGTGATTGGTACTCCAAGGACACATCATTTAGACAGTTTCTTTCAAAAATACATTACATGAACTACAGGGTAACAAGGCAGACCCAGACCGGGTGACAGTCTATTAATGAAGTCAGTGTCAATGTCTTGAAAGACAGGATATTACAGCTGCTCCACATTTCAAGAAACAAAACCCACACCACAGCAGAAAACTGCAGGGTGTTACTCAGGCACAGTAAGTCGCTATCAGAGTACTGGGCAACTGGCACGTTTGAAGATGGGTCATCGATTAGTTTGAAAAACTTACATAAGAGTGTGTCCTTGTTTTGGGGGCAAACACATTGAAGAATTTATATCTGAAAAGGCATGATCTGTGAAACTTGGGTCTCAAATGATTCAGCAAAGGAAGAATATATAGCAATGTATTGTGTACACTGTAGTCTGTGCACACATATATAAAGGGATATACGTAGATAATTAAGTGCTAACAAGGGATGATCCCACTTATGAGATGTGTACTTTTTAATTAATTTTCTCAGTGTTCACATTTATTTGGCTTCATTACATGCTTATATTACACTTATACATTTTTGTCTTGAAATTCTTCATGTATTTCACCTCAGTTCATTTAATGAATTCTGAATCTTAAAAAAATTGGCATTTGTAAATAATTACCAGGATCCCAGTGTTATTATCTGCTTCCTGTTCTCAGTCACTGAAGTGTGGCATTCCACCTCAGGAACTGCTAAAGGCAGCAAGTTCTGCCTTACACAAGCACCTGCTCTCAGACATTTACACACTGTGTGTGAACCTCACACCCTCAGATATTTACACACTGTGCGTGTACCTGGCACCCTCAGGCATTCATATACTGTGCGTGTACCTGTCGCTCCTTGTTCTTCACTGTTCCCAGCTAGTTCTGAGACATTTCAGTGACAAAAGTTCATTGTTGCAGACTATTTGTACACTGTGAAGAAGTGTTGCTGTGATTGGTGTAATAAAAAGCTGAACGGCCGATAGCTAGGCAGGAGAGTATAGATGGGACTTCCAGGGAGAGAGAGAACTCTGAGAAGAAGAGAGGCAGCAGACACCAGAAAGACATGAAACAGGTCGGAGATACTATACAGAGAAGAGGTAGTCCAGTCACATGGTAGAAGGTAGATTAATAGAAGCAGGTTTGTTTGAGTTATAAGAGCTAGTTGAGGAAAAGCCTAAGCTGGGGCCAAGGTCATATTAATACTAAGTGTCTGTGTGGTTGTTTAAGGTCTGGTGGTCCTGACAAGAAAGTATTGTTGCAGTTTCTAGTATTCACAGTGTAGAATCAAGGTTTGAGTCTCCTGTGCATTGCAGACCTGTTAAGTGGTGCTCTTGCAGCATTTGGATACTCCTTCTATTTATTATGTCGGCTTATACATCGTAGCTCTGGTTACAGATGTCAGGGCTCAAGTTCCACTGTGTATGTGTGTGTGTGTGTCCTTAGCAGTTAGGACAGATGCTGCTGCTCTGAAGGACCTGAGTTCAGTTCCGTCTCCTAGGAATCCTAGCAGCTCTGGCCTCTTTAAGCTCCTGCACAGATACAGACACAGATGCAAACATGCACAACTACACACTATTAAAAGATAAATCTTTTTCAAAGCATTATATCAAAGCATATTTTTTTTACAGGTTAGGTCATGGCTAGGTTTGTTCCATTAATGCCGTAAGATAGGATAATATTAGGAGTCTGTTGCCATCCCTCCCTGAGAGTCTACAGAGTCAGTGGAGGAAGACACTTCTTCAGTCATGCAGTGCCTGTAAGCAGCAGAGGCTCCTGTGAACAACCCTCACCCACACTTCCGTAAGCAACCCTGGTGAAACTTACCAGCTCACCAAGAAATAAGAAGACATGAAAATAGAAGAGGGGCTAGTTGAGATCAGCTGCAGTGGGGGGGTCAAGAGATGGTAACTTGTGGGAAAATAAGATCAAAATATAATATATATAGATATAAAGATAGATAGCCAGATAGAATATATTGTATGATACATATACATATATATGTATTTGTATATAGACATATATATGTATGTAAATGTTTTTTAAAAATCTGTTAACAGTGGTCTGAAGACCAAAAATTTCCACGTTAAGTTTGGTTATAATCAAATTGTAAAATGCATCATTTTAATAGTGAAAAACTAAACATAACCTTGATGTCCACTAACAGGAAATTTTTGCTTACAGTATGTTCACGTACATGTGTGATGGTTAGAGGAAAATTATTCTATATTTTATGATTTGGAAAGTTTCTAAAGCATATTATTTAAAAAACTTACATTTTCTTTCAGAACAGCTCTGTCCATATTGTGGCTGTGCAGAGGGCGGTGGGCTAGTACGTGGGGAGTGAATCACACACTCTTTTGGGTTTGTTATAATGCCTGCATTTTTCCTTTTTTTTTTTTCTTTTCCTTATTTTCTTTCTTTTTGAAACAGGGTCTTACTATGTAGTTCTGGCTGGTCTGGAGCTTGCAATAGAGACCAGGCTAGCCTCTGCCTCCCAAGTGCTAGGTAGGACTGAGGGCATGAGTCATGTTAGCGTTTTTAAACGCCACAAGTCTGATGATGTATTGCTGTGTTCTCGTCCAACCCAATGACTATTCGAGTTTAGCTGTGCAAACATTGCAACAAAGAGGATGCCATCTAATCGATATGCACCTATAATTTCTTCTAATAGCTCATATGCATTCAGGATGGTTACCTTTCCCTGCTAACAGAAACTGGTGAAGTCCGTGAGGATCTTAAGCTGCCAGAAGGTGAATTGGGCAAAGAAATAGAAGGAAAATACAATGCAGGTGAAGATGTGCAGGTAAGACTGATGGCAGACTCTCAAAACCATTCTCTAAAGACTGGCCCTAACAGGTTAGCGTAAGACTGTATGTGGAGACTTCAGCCTCCTCTGCTTTGCAGGGGGTCATTATCTGTGCATCTTGCTGTATGTTTTCTTCACCTTTAATGAAAGTATTTTCATCTGTTTACACACATACAACAATAATATATAAAATCAATTTCAACCCTGTGAACTATAACTTTAAAATACTGCTGAAATGTTGAAATGATCACCATATGGTAATTTCTGTGGCACCCTTAAAGATCTGTTTACTACCAAAGGAAGCATCAAGTGTGGGAGGTGGGTTGTTTGTCTTATTTCTTCTGGCTTGACATGGAACTCCATACTTACTTTAGATCTGCCTATGAAGGGAGCACAGAGGGGAAAGGTGGACTTTGTTATAACTCAGAAGTGTAACATGGAGTAACTGTTGATGGAGTGTTTCCGTTTTCCCGGGAAGTTGTCCTGAGCTACCATCTGAGAAATTATAATCCTGAAAACTGTGCAGAAGGCAGCCTAGCTGCTTTGGACTACCCATTTACAAAGTCAACATAAATGTTGTTGACACGTATGCAGGATTTAGTGAACACAGTGCATCTTCTCTTTGCATTACCTCCTGAGTAACTCTTTGCTTGCCCTTTCCCCTTCTAGGTATCTGTCATGTGTGCCATGAGTGAAGAATATGCTGTGGCCATAAAGCCCTGCAAATAGACAGGATCTTCCACACAAGCAGGGCCGTTAGGTCTGGATCTAGTTGTCCCAAAGCTATAGCCTTCATAAGCAACCTCATGTTTTATTTTTGTTATGTTTCTATCATTTTGAAATTGTGCTGGCTTAGTTTTGCAGGCAGTTAGTAACTTTAAAAGAATATATCAAGGTGTATAATTTTATAAAGTGTCTTTCCTATAACATTCCTCTGGTTTCTAGTGTGTGACCATAAGAAACAGATACAGTAGCTTCAGTACATGTCACTCGTCTAACAAATCACTCCTGGAGTTAAGTGGTTGCCAAACCAGGGTTTTAAATCAACAATGTAGCATCTAGTGGAATGGAAATTTTATGCATTTAAGTTGAATTGTTCTTTGCTGATTTCAGACTTCATATCTAGAATTTACAGATTATAAAATGGAATTGTCAAAGCTCCAGCCCTGTGTGGCTAACACACTTCCTGAAACTAAACTCATCAAAAAATGGTGTTCTCTTGGTGGCCAGGTGTCCCATGTAGCGCCTGCATCATGGCCTCCTTTCCAGACTGGTGACAGACCTATGCCATAGTTTAGTCTGTTGTGGTAATAGGAACTAGAACTGCCAAGAGAATCTGAGTAAGTCAAACAGAGCTGAAGAAGACCTGGGACAGCGGCCAAGAAGGGGGAGAGACTGTGGGTTTTATTTAAGACCTCTGTGATCAGCATATGAAATAGAGTGAACTCTAGTTGTATTTTTGCTTTTGGCTATGTCCCCATCCTGTGCCCTAGAAGGACTGGCCTTACAGGGACTCTGCACGACCTCCAGCCGTTATTTGTGAGTGTTCATAATGTTGGTAAGCCAGCTCTTCCCACGATTTTTAAAGTAGATTTATTTTTGACATTAGTCTAAAATTAGGAATTAAGTTGTTTTTGAATTCTTGACTTGTAAATGTATGTACACTTTTCTAAAGTGGAATAGAGGTAAACCATGGAAGAATTATTTTAAGTGTCTCTGTATATATATATTGTTCTCTTATGATTTCTGTTACAGATATAAAATCTAACTAGGAAAAGATTTTGTGAACTAGATTCTATTAATATGTTGTATGCATGCCCTTCCATTTTTGTTTAGACTTTTGGATTGTGTGCAGATTATGTCCGGAATCATAGACATAGTTCTGTGTTTTTGAAGAATTCTGACACAATCACAGTCATCGTATTGAAGTACAGCCTGGAACAGACTCCTGTAACGCCCTGGCTATCGGGTCCCTTTCACCTTGCCTAGCCCCCAGAGTGCTGTGCTCCCGTCTAGAGCAGAGAGGACGGTGCAGCCGACCCAGTCAGCAGTTTAAATTGCCGTGGAAATGCGAGAGCCCACGATTTTAGTTGCTTAATTTGTATGCAATTTTAAATTGTGTCTTGACCTCCACAAACCAATCCAGAGAAGAAAGATACTATAAGAGAAGTGCCGGGAAGAGACTTGCAAAGCACAAGAAATATTGAAGTTGTAGCCAGTGGACTTTAGTGTGACCTTTTAGCGTTTGTCCATGCAAACCACAATTAGCAATTCGACTGGAATCTTCTACAAGTATCTCCTTTAGATTTCTGGTGTTCTCATGTGTACCTTAGTTGAACTGATTGATGTGTTATCCACAAGAATTCCAAAAACTATCTATGCTGTTTCGTGGTCATCATCTAGCCAATTAATAACCACATTGGTGTTTTGATTTAATATTACTTTAGGACTAGCATGCCCTTGTTCTTTGTAACTTGTCAAACCTCACAGGAATCTCTGTTTTCCTTTGCAGTGGAAGGGTGAAGAGCAATATATGTCTAACTCCATACCTTGAATGGCAAAAGCTACTTAAGCCGAAGTATTTCCCCCTCTCTCTCCTCTCTCTCTCTCTCTCTCTCTCTCTCTCTCTCTCTCCCTCTAGCATTTTGTGAGTTTTGCTTTATTTTCTCAATGCCCACGTGGAATACAGCAAACATTTTACAGAGCCGTGTGTAACTTATCCCTGTTAGAAATACAATTCATTATCTCTGGATATAGACCAGTATTTTTCATGTTAAAGACCATACCATTTGGAGTTATGTTGGTTTTTTAATTTTTAAAGGCACATCACATCAGGTTCTGCCACCAGCACCCACCTTCTGTATTACAATAGTGTGGCCTAATCATCTATTGTGGATTGTTAATTCTCACATCCTTCAGAAACTTCTTTCTTCCTATAAATTTCCTTTTTGTCCATCACTATAAATTTCGTTTTGCATGTTGGAGACCTCAAGACTTAACATAAATTCCTAATTGTGTTGTAACTGAGGGCATTCTTTATTAAGTTCATTTGTACCAAACTTTGGCTGCTACAAAAATGACTTAAGAGATCCTGACAGCAAGCAGGGGTTAAACCGCAGTTTTCCAATCCTCGCCTCTGAATGTGGCAGTTTGAATTTTTTAAAGCATCACACAGATTATGCAGGCCAGCGTCCCTTAAGTTGTTGTTCTCAAGGTGTAGGCTCCACAGGTGTGGGTTGTTTGCGAGAACAGAAGGCAGATCCAGGTAACTCTCACTCGTGAGAGCACAGCCCATCGACCCCAGCTCTTGAAGAGTGCTGGGCGCTGCTGAAGGACGTGACACAGAAACTTTATCCCGCTGGACTCGGACAGAGCAGTGGAGAGCAGCTCACTACACAGGCTCTGGAGAGTACTCCATGGCTGTTTCAGGGCATCGCTGAGAAGTTCTGTTCCTCAAAGACTGATGACGGAACAGACTACAGAGCTGTAATAAAGGAAAAGTTTTCTATTATATGGGATAAGAACTCTTTGCTTGGAGAATCTGCAACTTCATATCAGGGAATTACTCAGAAAGACCAAAAGCTGTTGGAGAGTATGTTTGATAAGAATATCAACACTTTCAAGATGTGACAAACAGTCATCCTTTATGGAGATGCTGGAGTTGGGAAGACGACGTTGTTGAGAAGGCAATGTTAGAATGGGCCGATGGGAATCTCTTCAAGAAGTTTGCCTATGTTTTTTATCTCAGTGGGAGAGAAATTAGTCAAGCAAAGGAGAAAAGCTTTACAAGTTAATATCCGAGAACTGAAGTCCCCCATTGGACAGATCCTGTCCGAGTGCCGAAATCTCCTTTTCGTGATGGATGGTTTTGATGAGCTGGACTCATTTGAAGAGCCAGAGTTTGCACTATGTAATGACTGGAACCAGGAGCACCCAGTGCCCTTTCTTCTTAGCAGTTTACTGAGGAAACTGATGCTTCCTGAGTCATTCCTGTTAGTAACAGCAAGATCCACAGCATGGAAGAGCCTGGTGCCCTTGTTACATAAGGCTCACTGTGTAAAAAGCTGCCCGGACTGTCTGAGATTGCAAGGGTGGACTGCAATAAGACATGGGCTATGGATGCGATCTATTCAATAAGGAAGAATCCGCGACTTTTCCACAGGTGCCATGTCTGCTGGGTGGTCTATACTTGTCTGAAGCAGCAAGTGGAGAAAGGTGGCGATATCACAATGACCTGCCAAACCACCACAGCTCTGTTCACATGCTATCTGCAGCTCATTTTCACGGCCAGATGGGCGCTCTGCTACTCTGCCCAATGAGACCCTCCTGAGGAGCTGTGCCAGGCAGCTGCTGACGGGGTTTGGACTATGAAGCATACACTCTACAAGACAAATCTCAGAAATGACATCTCAGTCTTCACGGATGCTCAGTACTTCATTTTAAATACTGTATGAAGTGTACATACTCCAATATGTAAGTATAGATTTTAAAGATACAGAACTGTTTATTTTCACATAACTCAGTAGTGTTTCTCTTAGAGCAAAGTATTTCGTTTAGTAAAGCTTTACAAATTATATTGAAGGGAGGCAGGTAACATATATTTCTAACATAAAACAGAAGTTCCTTCTTTTTGACAGCAGAGAAATGCTAACAGTTAGTTCCTAGTATGTGCTGTACTTTTTGTTTCTCAGGCACCATGTAGAGAATGGAGACTCATTCATGTCACCGCCAATTTGTGTCTGTAACCTTTTCTTTCTCTGTCCTGTGTAGACAGTACTAGCAGGTTGAATGTTTTTGTTCTAGAAGAGAGGCTTTATTTCTACTGTGAAGATTTTGTTACACTGGTGCAGTCATTTGCCCTCTGACCTGTCAGACCTTTGGGCTCTAACTTGGCCTTGGAATCCTTGATGCCCTGGGGCGCTGCCAGTCACTTGAAGTGGTTACCAACCAAGCTCTTGACTCTGTTCCCCTTCATAGTACAGATTTCTATGCCAGTGCTTTATAGCAGAGACCAAAATCCTTGAGGCCAGAAGATACGGCGATATACATCGATATTTAAAAAATTTGGGGACACATGCTTTCCATTACCTCATCAGGTGACTGTGTGTACACACACAGCTTTGTTCTTTTCTCAAAGTCCTTCCATCTACTGAAGTACTGTAGTCTGTAGTGCCTCAAAAGTTGATTTTTTTTTTTAAATAATTTTTTTTTATTAAGAAAAGAAGAAAAAAAAACATAAACAAAAAACAAGTTTCCACCTCCTCCCAGCCTCCCATTTCCCTCCCCCTCCTCCCACCCTTCTCCCCCTCCTCCCACCCTTCTACCCCTCCCCCCACTCCTCTCCCCCTCCCTCTCCAGTCCACAGAGCAGTCCAGGTTCCCTGCCCTGTGGTAAGTCCTAGGTCCTCCCCCCTCCGTCCATATCTAGGAAGGTGAACATCCAAACTGGCTAGGCTTCCACAAAGCCAGCACATTAAGTAGGATCAAAACCCCGTGCCATTGTCCTTGGCGTCTCATCAGCCCTCATTGTTCGCCATGTTCAGAGAGTCCGGTTTTATCCCATGCTTTTTCGGTCACAGTCCAGCTGGCCTTGGTGAGCTCCCAGTAGATCAGCTCCACTGTCTCAGTGGGTGGGTGCACGCCTCGTGGTCCCGACTTCTGGACCCAGCAATACCACTCCTGGGAATATACCCAAGAGATGCTCTATCATATGACAAAAGCATTTGTTCAACTATGTTCATAGCTGTATTATTTGTAATAGCCAGAACCTGGAAACAACCTAGATGCCCTTCAATGGAAGAATGGATGAAGAAAGTATGGAATATATACACGCTAGAGTACTACGCTGCGGTAAAAAACAATGACTTCTCGAATTTTGCAGGCAAATGGATGGAAATAGAAAACACTATCCTGAGTGAGGTGTCCCAGACCCAAAAAGATGAACATGGGATGTACTCGCTCATAATTGGTTTCTAGCCATAAATTAGCGCCACGGAGTCTACAATAGGTGAACCTAAAGAAGCTAAGTAAGAAGGTGAACCCAAGGAAAAACATATAGTTATCCTCTTGGCTAAGAACCTTCATCTGGTGATGGATGGAGACAGAGACAGACCCACACTGGAGCACTGGACTGAGCTCCCAAGGTCCCAATGAGGAGCAGAAGGAGGGAGAACATGAGCAAAAAAGTTGATTTTTTAAGAAGTTTTCCAGAATTTGATTTTATACCTTTAAAGTTTCTCATGAAAATTGTTTCTATTGAGCTGGAATTTGAACGCTTTGTTCTCAGGGCTGTTAGTGCTAAGAGATGCAGTGTCAATATTTTAAAACTAGCTGCCTACAAAGAGACTGCAAGTTTCCCCAAGTTCTACAACTGTAGTGCATAGAAACACAAATTCTTGGTGTAACATATTTAAGCTATATGGTACATATTTAAGAAAGATGGGGGCATTAGTAGCAGCTGTGCTGGGATCTTCCCAGTGGTCTTGCCTTGAAACCTTGTTCTTGGGGATGTTTCTGTTAGCATCTTTTTGACACGAACCCCAGAGAGGGTTTTGGAGTCAGACATTGATGCAGTGGTTCTCAGACCCATTTAAGAACAGACAGGAAATCCCTAACTCTTTTGGGTATCTTAAAATGTTTACATACTGAATTCACATTTGCTATGAGAAAATATGGATCTCTAGTATAAAAGCAAAACTATCAAAGCATATTTCCATAAGCAGTATATTGTACTGATATGAACCTTCAAATCTTCTAATGTTTAGGTATAATAAATATTTCATAGTTCTCAAGCCTTTTTCTGTTAGCATTCTGAGGAGTAATAGGCAACAAGATTTTTTTAAATCTATGGTAGAAAAATCTTAAAATTGAATCTGTTAACTTAAATCTATGAGATGTGTTCTCTGAATTGAAGAAACAGCATCATTATTTGATTGTAGAGGGAACATTGGGAGTTAGCTATGAAGCATAGATGTTCTGTAGAAACACATTTTGGAGCCACTTTGTAATTTAATTTGTCCATTAACTAAATACCTGAACCCCAACATAACTACCTAGTGAGGTCAAGTGCCCAAAGAGAGTTGTAAACATTGGCTAATTTGTCTCCTTCATGTGGCGGGCACAACTTAGGGCAGTGCACACGGGACCATCACCTGCTAGAAATGTACTTATTGCCAAGCTTTCTATCACTACTGTTCATATCTTAAAACAGGTCTGAACCTATTTATAGCAAAAAGGGAGATTCTTTTGCTATATGAAGTTCTTGGAAGCCATTTCTTAATGTTGGTGGGATTTGGTTCGTCTTAGTTTGAAACTGTACTTTTACAAACACTGGATACTAACCTATTCAGTAGTGACTGAAGAGCCTGCTAGAAATCATGGCTGTGCTCATAGGTGATTCTTTATCATGGTTAGTCTAATACAGGTAAGCACTCTTTGTTACTATGAAGTATACATCAAATTACTCATTCTAAACCATGATTTAAAAATGACTAGTTATATATTATCATGTACTTTACCCTCTTCCCCAGAAGAAAATAATATTGTCAGATTCATTGGCACTTTGTTAGTAATGTACTTTTTTGGTCTGAAATATAGGCGATTTCTTGAATTTACTTGCAAGTGTTTTGGTTAAAACTTTAAAATTACAAGATCTGGATATTATAATTATGTGTTTTCCATTTTAAAAATGAGTAAACTTTGAATGTTAAATATCCAGCTATACTAAAATATGCTTTAAAATGCAGAATCTTATTAATGATAACATTTTGTTACCATAAAATTTCTGTTAACTTCATGTTATATCAAATGAAAATAAACTTAAGCGTGCACAATTCTTATATGTGTACATTCAAATATTTTATACTATAAAATTGTGCTCACTGTGTAGAGAACTTCTGAAAGAAAGCCTTCCATTTTATCTCATGTACTAGGTCCTTTCTTAATCTCTAACTTTGAACCCAGGCTAGATATGAACTTGTCTTCCTTTTAAGTTCTGAAATTCTTTGCTAGCCAGGCATGGTAATGCACCAGAAGTTGCTGCAAGAGGATAATTCTGAGTTCAAAGCCAACCTGGGCTATGTAGCGAGACCCTGACTTACATCTGTAGATTTGATAGTGCGGTTGCAATCATGAATGCACAGCTGTGGCCACTGCACTGAGCCCATACCGACCTGGCCCAGCTGTCAGTCAGGGACAAGTGCTCCCGGGGCACTTGACTGCTGAACTAACCATAGTTCCCAGCAGAGGACAAATAATTCTCTCTACTCTTGTACCCACTGCTGAGCCCACAGGTTCCACCTCCAAGCTCTAACCCCATAGGCACTGTGATGGCCTGGTTAAACTCGGTAAAAACACACAAATAAGAGGAGGGGCTGTAGGGCCATAGGACAAGCGTGAGAATGGTCAGTATGTGTTACATTTATGTATCAACTCATCAGATAATTTTATTACAAATATGTGTAAACCTAAAATGATGGTTTTGTTTGGTTTGGCTTTTGCTTTCTGTTTGGGTTTTATTTTGTTTTATTTGATATGGTATCTCCTGGTGTATCCCAAATTAACTTGAATTTTGGGTCGTTCCACTTCCAGCCTCTGAGTGCTGGGCTCACACTAGCCCCACACGTGACCATTCATGTCTTAAGCATGTAAGATAATTACTTGTATAGTTCAATGGAAAATAGAAAATATCCTGCCATCATCCTTCCCATCCTCTACATCCTCCACAGATATTGTGTGTCAGAGAGGTTAATGGTCCATTCACCCCTGGTGTCCCTTCCCTGCCAGCTGGGATTGCTAAGTGGGGTGATGAGTCCTTGAACTGAACCCTTCATCCTTCCAGTTCTCACTCTGTGTGGACCATGTGACCAGGCTGACTGTAAGTAGCTCAGTTCTCTCTCTCGTTCATGTGCTTTCTCTAAGACTAAGAGCCATGCTGGGTTACCATATCGGTTATCACTTTATATATATGATCACTATTACTAATAACTTTAATCTTCCAGATGTACAAACCAGAATTAGACAGTAACCGAAATAATCCAGTTAGACTTCCGCTCTCTGTCCCCACACTTTATTGTTGTTACTTTCAGATAGCAAGATCCCCGTTTTCCAGAAGTACATGTCAGAGGAGGATAATGGAGAGGGTTGAATATAGCTTACATACCACAGAGGGGGAATAATAGAGAGGATTGACTATAGCTTACATACCACAGAGGGGGATAATGGAGAGGGTTGACTATAGTTTACATACCACAGAGGAGGATAATGGAGAGGGTTGACTATAGCTTACATACCACAGAGGGGGATAATGGAGAGGGTTGACTATAGTTTACATACCACAGAGGAGAATAATGGAGAGGGTTGACTATAGCTTACATACCACAGAGGGGGAATAATGGAGAGGGTTGACTATAGCTTACATATCACAGAGGGGGGATAATGGAAAGGGTTGACTGTAGCTTACATACCACAGAGGGGGAATAATGGAGAGGGTTGACTATAGCTTACATACCACAGAGGAGGATAATGGAGAGGGTTGACTATAGCTTACATACCACAGAGGGGGAATAATGGAGAGGGTTGACTATAGCTTACATATCACAGAGGGGGGATAATGGAAAGGGTTGACTGTAGCTTACATACCACAGAGGGGGATAATGGAGAGGGTTGACTATAGCTTACATACCACAGAGGAGGATAATGGAGAGGGTTGACTATAGCTTACATACCACAGAGGGGGATAATGGAGAGGGTTGACTGTAGCTTACATACCACAGCCTTAGTATCTCTCTGCTCCCTGTTGGACATCCAAATGGGGAACCCCTTGTAGAATCACCACATGTTAAGATCATGCAGCCATGCTTCCTGGGAAATTAAACATCTATTTCCACAACACATTCAGCAGATATTTCTAACTATAATGAACAGCTGTGTGTTGTCTCAGAAGGCTAACTAGCAAGGTGTTATCTGCCTCTTGGGAGTTCTTTCAAAGTGTAATCAAAATAATATTCTGGCCACACCCAGAGATGATTCCCAATGCTCAAGTGACTTGTGTCCTGAGTTAAGGAGAGCCCAGAAGGCTTGGTAAGCTCGGTTACTGTTAGATCCCAACACATTCTCAGAGAAAGGATGGGCATATGTTTAAGTAATATTCATAGAGATCAGTCTTTTTGTTTTCAATTATGT